TTTCGTCTCCTATTTTTAGGAGACGAAATCCATTAAATAGGAGACGATCAAAAGGATTTAGGAGACGATCGGTTGCACGACTCGAGTTTCCACAGAGGTCCCGGTACATCCAAGTCCCCATACCCAGCTGCAGTAGCACAAATAAATAATCTCATTCCAAGGGAATCGAATCCGGGCTCGTGGGCTCATTTTGGCATTTCCAAATCACCTCTTCTGGCAGCTTCCCGGCATGTAGGCAGTACTTGGATCCCTGGGCAACCATTTTCATAACCCCATTTCAGCATACTCAGATCCCCAACATCTGTAGCATCAGAGCATGTACCTTCACCTCATGGGCAACCAAATTCAATCGCACATTTGAGCACTTCAAATGTCCTTTCATCGCAGGAACTGTACATGCGCGGGCATTCCAGTCATGGCCATCGGCAAGGGCTCATTGAATCATCTGTATTAGCTAACCACAAGAAGCATCATACCGGTACCAGTAGGTACAAAGGGAAGCCTTTCCAAGTGTCCACCTTTGGTAACATTGGGAATGGTGTCCTCCTGCATGCAAAGAGAAACCTTGTGATGGCCCTATTTCAGAACATTCTATGCCCAGCTGAAGCAGCATCAGACATTATGTCATAATCCAAGAGGCAGCAATTTTCATTGGCCCCATTGAAGGACTTCCAAGTGCCCATTCAATGCCTTAAAGGAGCACATCATAGCGTCATCCCCTGCACTGCTGCAGGAGTTAGATCTACTTGCTGGCAGCTAGTTTCCTGATAGTTGATGAACATTCACGCCCACCATTGTCCGTGAGGTTTCCTCGCGACTTAATGATGGGGGTTTCAAAGGGGGCTAGTTAAAACATTTTTTGGCAGGGCTCTACTATAAAACAAACAGTAGCAGGACCAATTATTCAATCAGGTATACGGAGGCTTCTGAGCAGGCTGGCACAGCCATGTTAACAGGCCCTCCTATCAATTTGTACATTGATCAAGGTATCCAAGACATTTGGAACGGAATCAGATGTGAAAAAGCTATGGGAAGAAAATAAGATGGGGGTGATCTACACCCGGTAACCTGAGAGGGGGAACTAACAGTCGGATTGATTGCTGTTGTTACTATGAATACCAGAACTGATTACAGGGGGTACCAACCATAGCCTCCCCCACAAACATGAAGCACCACCGAGGAGACAGATGCTTTCTTGAATGAGCAATCACCTGTCGGCTGTGTCGGCAAGAGATTTGCTTATAGCCACTTGCTCAAGAGACCCACACCAGTTGCACGTCAGCTGCATAAAGCACTCATTGGCCAGGATTGACCTTGGTGTTGGTTGCTGTTGCTGTTGTTGCGCTTTCATTCCTTCACTTACTTGTGGATATTGGGAGTTTAGAGTATATTTAAGTAGATTGTTGATATGATTGTATGATTGTTGATGTAGCCTTCCATCCCTGCATTGATCTGATCAGAGTGGTGACTTGTTGTTTGACTGAGCGTGGAGAGATACTGAGAGTGGCTGGTTAATGCCAGTGGATATTAGATACTACTAGTAAGCTACTGAGTACAAGTGTGCCAGCATGCTACTACCGGTACCACCACAACTATACGGGTGAAGCATTTGATCTCTCTATTAATAATAGCAAGAGTGACCGGCAACAGTCTGGACATTGGCTGGCTGACAATCATGTTGACTTGATCAGCGGCACCTCTACGGTACCGATACCATTACCATACCGTACTATCAAGCCGACCGTCTCCGGGTCAGAAATAAAAGCTATCCTCATTGAAACTGTATGGACCATGGAATGGCAGTCAGTTCTCGGCCTATGACAGTCAAGTTGGTCAATTTTGAAGAGCAATGGTATGTCTCTGGTTTTCTGCAGTATCAGAACAGAAGAGAAAACTATATCTATTCTTACTTTCTAATCTCTTACTACAGACGTTCGAGGAAGAACCATTGTCAACGAGCCATGAAATACAGTAATCAACCATGCAGAGGAGACCACACGATAACTCACACGCACTGGTGAAAAGTGAATCGTCTTGTTGGATTCATTGATTACTTATACCTTGCAGATTGGGTAGCTATTGGGTACCTGAATGGACAAGGTGCAACTTTGGTTGGTACCTGGTTGGTAACCTCATGACTGCCTCTGCACGGAGCAGCCTCTCTTTGGATGGTGGCATTGCGTATTCGAGAAGAGGAGTAGCCTCCATGGGTAAGGTTGTTCTTTGTTCTGTAAGAGGAGAAGGCTTGGTTGGTGAGCTGATAAGCCCTTGATGTGGATGTGGCGCTGCTTCTGTTCCACAAGGTTGACCTGGATTTATAAGGAGGGCAAGCTGTTTTTGGATGTGTCATTGGAGAGTACTACTTTTCCACAATAAAGGATTCAAACAGACTTCACAGAACAGCCTGCCCGGCTGCCCCCTTCTTCGAAAGCAGCCTCACTCGATGGATCACTCAACCAACCAACCAACCAACCAACCAACCCAACCAACCAACACAACCAACCAACCAACCAACCAACCAACCAACCAACCAACAACACAACCAACAACCAACCAACCAACCAACAACAACAACACCAACCAACCAACCAACCAACCACCAACCAACCAACCACCAACCAACCAACCAAACCAACCAACCAACCAACCAACCACCAACCAACCAACCAACCAACCACCAACCAACCAACCAACCAACCAACCAACAGGAAGCAACACGCACAATGGTGGAGGAGCGGCCGATCGCTACCAGTACTGACTACGGCTACTACTATTACGGGTAAGTCTATTAGCAAGTGTATTATTGAAGGTGCAGCACTGACTTCTCTCCCTCGTTGTATTCCTATGGTAAACAGGAAAGAAATCCAAGCTTGGCCGACAAGAGTGAGCATGCGTTGGAGGAGTTCTTCAATCGAATCGGTGCATCACAATGAGGTAAGCCTATTATCAAGAGTGTTAATTGAAGGTACAGCGCTGACTTCTCTCCCTCATTGGATTTCTATGGTATTCAGGAGAGAATTCCAAGCTCGGCCGTCAAGAGGTGAGTTGTTTTAATTATTCGAATCGAATCGATTGGTCGCACCTCTGTTATCCAAGCCTCACTCAAGCCGATCGTCTCCGGTGCAGATGCGAAAGCCATCCCTCATTGAAACGTATGGACCATGGGATGGCAGTCAGTTCTCGGCCCATGACGGTCAAGTTGAAGAACAAGAGTAAGTCTCCGGTTTTCTTCAGTACAGCACAGAAAACAAAACTCATATCTATTTGTTGTTTTCTCTGCTGCACTGTTGACTGCCAAGGAATTACCATTGTTGAGTCTTTTTCGAACGAACGATCGATCGCTCCGGAGAACAAGCAGAGGAGAGGCTACCACTACAGAGGAGACTGTTAACTCAAGCCCTACAGACAGTCTGAACGGAGGAGCTTCGTCGAGTCATTGAATGGCAACATCTAACCGGAGGAGACGACAATACACAAGAGAGTGGATCCTACTACTGGATTCATCCCTCCAGTGTTATTTCCTAGTGATTTGGTGGTGATTCCTGTGTCGGCACCCATTTCCTGTATGTACAAGTCGGTCGTCGAGGACTTGGTGGATTTGGCTAAGTTGAGGCGGCGACTTCTCTCTTTCATACCATAAGATAGATGTAACTCAACTAGTTAGATAAAACATCGATTACCAACCAATAGACCATACCCATTACATTAGTAGAGACCTTGTCGATTCAATAGCATTGCTAGGTCTCTGTTTGGGAAGCTAGCGCCAAAACGGTGAGGTTGGATACCCATTCAGGAATACCTTCGACTGACCCCACCAAATTGGTAACCTACCTCGCTGTTTAGTAACCGACCTCACTGTTTAAAAATTACCCCATTATGCGCTTCTTAGATGGTACTTGTAGGCAATCTTAGTAATGGCGGTAGTAGTCAAGTGATAGCTAGCATTTGGTTGTTGTTTCTGTTAGTTGATCGTATCAACGTGGACAGCCGCTATTGGTATCGATGACCTTTTTGTTCCTTGTAGGAGTAGCATGCAAAGTAAGTTGTAGCAGCAGTGGTACCGTAGCCGTTGTGGTGGCATCGTTCCTGGTTCTTTGCGTGGCTGTGCTTGTCGACGGACAAATCACAATGGCAGTGGTTGCTGACTGGCTGTAGCCGAAGCAGTAGTGAATGCTCGTCGTGGATTCCAACATATGATGTACACCAAAGTCTCTTTTATTGCACTGTTTGAACTGTTGCTATCCATACCACCCATTCACAGTACTTGGTTTGCGCTTTACTGTGGAGGAAAGTCTGACTGCAATATTGCTTCTTGGATTGAATGATTTTATTGGGAGAGATGCATGCTGCTGTGACGAATACTGAGTGGAGGAAGCAGTGTTTCTTGTGGAATAATGCACACCTTCTCTTCTAGATATTCAAATCCAACGGCCATATTGTTGTCCACATACACAATCGTCTCACTTCCTACAACTCTACTGCCCGGTCGGCCATTTTGTACTCCAGTTGGTATTCCTACAAGGCCTACCAGGTAGGGCACTGTACTCTGTCTCTGTTGTGATCATCAGTAATTCCATGCTCGATTAAAGTAGGCAGCTCCGAGTGGACAGCTCCTGATGGCCAAAGATATGACATCACCAGCATTGACGCATGACACAAGCTTTGACACACAGCACCAGCTTTGACTACAGTACTGTCGTGGATGGCAGAAAATTCAAATAAAGAAGATAAGATAACAACCAGTTGGTATGAAAATTAATGAGCACATCCTAGCTACGGGATACTCCAGAGTGGATAGTAGACTAGCTAGCTAGATTTGGCCATGCTGTACCGCTACAATGGGCTACTGAGTACAATGTACTGGTAAAACTGTCTAATTGGCATCAAACTGCTTTCCTTTTCTAAAGCTGCGAAGCTGTAGTGGGCACTGGTAGCTGCACTGGTTCACTGAGTGGAGGCTGAGATCTCCTTAGAGCCTCACGCACTTTCCGCACCATCCACTTCAACCCCAATAGTAACTACTGGAGACGAAGAAAGAGGGACTGATACTCTGACTCGACTCTGACTGACTCGACTGTGACTGGACTGAACTCGACTCAACGGAGTCACACGATTTGTTTCTTGAACCTTCTCGAACTCTCCCAAACGGACCATTTCTCAAAAACTGAGGGGCGAAGCCAACGGCAGAACAGTATCAACCTTCAGTATCTTCACATCGCTCAATTGGCTAATCACTGTCCGTCCTCCCAGATCAACGGAAACTGAGTTGGTACTTAGCAAAGCCTCATTCGTTGCTGCCAACCCCAAATCTCTCGAGCTTTCGACCTGCTCCATTTCATTGCAGTTGAGCCAGTACGCACTGGACGGTAAGGGAATGATCAATTGTAACTTGCTCTGTTGTGTCTACCGTTGTTTTTAACATCGTCCGTCTAGATGTTGTTCGAAGAGCATCCGCACCTCGGCAAGCACGATGCTGAAGAGAGTCCGTTCGAGAGTGCTGCCAAGAAGCAGCGATGGGAAAACGGCCAGCAGAACGAGGACCAAGAATCCAAGGACTTGCTAGAGTGGGAATTGCAGCAAGAGAAGTGGACGGAAAAAACAAACACAGCAATACTAGAAGACCCAAAATGGCAAAGAGTAGGCATTAAGGCAGAGTCTCAGTCTTCGTTTTCCGATGAGGAACGTCAGCAACAAACGATGACGGCTCTACCTTCGGCAACACTACAACCACGAGGCCAGCTCTTCCAACCAGGGGGTACCCGTCCCCATAACAGTCCTGGGAGAACGTTGTCACAAAGTGGCTCAGCAGCACCCATCTACATTGAAGATCAGAGGTTGGTGCAGCGCCCTGCATCTCCGTCCATGTCGGTTCGCAGTGCTCATCAGCTAGGTGCAGCCTTGAGCCCAAACAGTGCGAGGCCAGCGTCGCCATCCTCTAGTGTTCGAAGTGCTTCTGCTTACAGCCGCTTCCACAAGCAAGACCCACAGTATGTTTTTTATCCATCAACTCCAAACGGAGGAAGACACACGAACAACTGGTCTTCTGCGGAACCCGCCAGCCCCTACAGAGAGACTGGAGCTGAACCGTTTCCACTGGAGAACCAACTGCCAATGAGAGTGAAGCCCTACTCTCCGGTCCTTTCTCCTGTCCAGCCCAGCTCACAGATGTTTCCTTACGGCGCCGTGAACCGAGATGAACCCGCAAGCATCGATGCTACGTTTCGGGAGGATGTGGCAGCAAAAAGTCCCATCGCATCCGCTTACAGAGACCATCAAGCCACCCCTCAAACTACCCCTCGAGGTTCCTCTTGGATTGCTGGCGACCAAGATCAACTGGACATCATGCGCAACGATGACGCGGATCAGCTGGAGGCTGAGTTTGCACGGCTGGAGAGTGGTCGAGGTCGAACAGCAGTAGGGTTTCCTCATGTTGATGATGAACGCGATGAGCATGATGCAATGCATGCAGTTCAGAGTCCAAAGATGGGTTATGAATTAGAAGAGCTAGAGAAGGAATATGAACGTCTCGAGACAAGGAACAATGAAGTTATTCACGTGGGAGACGAAGTTTTGCACATGGAAGATGAACTTTTGCACGTTGGAGACGAAATTATGCACGTGGAAGAGAAACCAGGGCAGCTTCTTGAAGATCCTGACGACGGTGTGATTCATTTGGAGGATCAAGTTTCATTGGGAGAGAACGAACCTCAAGTACACGCCACAGAGCACCACGAATTGGCAGGAGGACAGGAAGATCCTGAAGGCAAGACAACCGAGAGCCTATCATTTGGAGCAGAAGAGCAACACGGAAACAAGCATGAGCACAGTGGATATGGAATCGAGGATCTTGAAGCCGAGTTTGACGAGGCATTGCGTCGCAAGGAAGTTCTTATGCGCAACTGTTCCATGGATTCAAACGAGGGAGAGGACGATATCCTTGGTGAAATTGAAGAGGATGAACCGAAGGAAGACCCGCCTAAGAAAACAGCGGTAAGGAAATCAAGATGGCAGGAGAAGCTCGAGAGGTTTGAGCGTCGAGGTCTGGATCCAGCTGAATCTACCTCTGACGTCTCCAGATACCCTCGGCTACAACAGATCCGGCAACGACGCAGAGAACGATTAAAGGCTTTGATGACTATTCGGCAGGAACGTGCGGAGATATGGAACACTTTGGAGGCAAACTGGGAGCACATGGAGAATAGTATGACAAGGAGGATGGGCACGGAAACGAAAAGCCGCGGCCAAGACCCCGAACCTGCGTCAGGAAAGCACAAGAGTAGTGACGTAAGAAATGAGCCCACGGATGCGTCAGCTCACGAGCAGGATGACTTAATGGCCGACGACTCTCTGCGGCTGTCGGCCAGCGAGGAGCCAATTTCGAACGAACCAGAAATGGTGGCGTTCGAAAACGCCATCGAGGCAGTTGCCCGCGCAGAGGAGGAGGACAGTCCTCCTGATGCTCCCAATGACAGCTATGACACGGAAATAGCACAGGCAAGTGCAGCAATGGCAGAATTGAGCGTGGCTAGCCCACAGGAAGCTGGTTTGTCACCGAAAACAGCAGCGACAATGCCGATGAGCCCTTTGAGTCCGACTGAGTCACACAAGTCACAAAAGTCACAGAAGACGCCAAAGACTCCCAAGTCACCAAAGTCACCAAAGAGCCCGGGATCGCCTACTTCAAATGCCTATCCTGCTTCGCCTTCGTCTCTACTGGAGAGCATTGCGTTTGGAGCAACCGGAAAGGAACAAAAGGACCTCATGGTCGCGTCTCTGCAAGCAAGCAATGCTGGCGAAAGTGAGGGCAAGACCTCTCAAAAAGAGGATCCGCCGCCCTCTTTCGGGGCCTACGTTTCCCAGAGTATGAGTGACGTTGGCACCAAGGTTGTCAGAATCCTTTCAGCAGTCCGAAGTAACGAGGAACCGCAGCAACAGCCACCGATTCATCAGCAAGGAACCGACACAGTAGAAGAGGATACAAGCCAACCGACGGAGGAGGCAAGGGACGACGATGAAACGAGCAACGGACTAGGGTTGGACCTGATTGCTGGATTTGAGGAGGACGAAGACGAACTACACGAGCAGCAGGGGTGCGTGAACCCGCTGCAAAGCCTCATAGGCAGACCAAGGCGTATTGTGGTGGAGGATGTGGCGGGCCAAGGATGCATCAATCCGTTCGTAACCTTTGGTTTCGAAAAGGCCACGCAGATGTGTGGGTCCCAGAGCGCGAAGAGCCAGAATGAGAAACGGAAGATCTCTGGATACATCGAACAAATCCCCGACACATACAGTGACATTCAAGATGATGTTCGTCAAGATGAGCTTCCCCGGAATCAAAGCGAGGATGACCAAAAGTTCAGTGAACGCCTTGACGGTTCACTCTCTCAAAGCGATGATAGGGACATGCCGCCAGAGTCAATGGAGAACTCTGCAGTCGTCGCCGCCCCCACTCCCAGCAAGAAATCACGTCGATCGAAGAAGAACAAGCACAAAAAGTCTACATCGGCGGCTACAAAGGACGGTGAATCCAATGTCGGCGTTGACACTTTCTTTACACTCGTGGATGATTTGCTCGTGAACAACATTCTCAACATTATGGATGAGAAGTCAGTTGACAAGATGGCCCATACCTTCGGCTTTGACTGAGTGAGGATCATCATTTGATAATCTGTATTCGCTTGGATGCTGCCGCAAGCTGCAACAACGGGAAGGAGGCATGGCGATTGGCTCCCGATGCCGCCCCCAAAGTACTGTTGATGGCCGCCGGCCATTAGTAGAGACGAGTAAACTAACGAGTGTATTGTAGCGATGAGGTGCTCTTTCCGCCCAAACCCGTACTAGTACCGGTAGCAGTTTCACGACCGCACACAACACACACATTGGAACCAGATTCATAAATCCTACCCGGAATATGCACATCATCAGGGTGTTGTCAACGAGTGATATTTAAAAGTTTTCTATTATGCATTTTCTTTCGTGTGCCAATCACAACATACAATACAAACCAGGTTACGGTCTTCTACTGTCTACTCTACCATGACACTGCGGGTCTTGAACTCCAATGGATGTTTGCGGAATTTAGGGTCCAGCCAGACTCCTTCTTCTCCGGGACCGCTCCACTTGATGGTATTCTGGGTTAAGCACCAGTCATCAGGGCATTCCTTTTCACGGAAACTAGTTCCCTCCATGGTCAAAGGAGTGTACTTCTTGTCCTCTGGTTTCACAGGGGTATTCCAGTTTGGCGGAATGGCATAGTGGTTCTCCATCTTATGGTCCACTTCGGCCCATCCATGCTTTGGATAATAATGGACAAAGATGGAGGAATACCAGCTTCCATTCAATCTGCGAGGACGTCCATGGTTGCATTTGGAGCTTTCGTAAAAGACCATGTCACCCGATGTGAGGCTAACCTCATGTGTATTGCCTTCAAAATCTTCAATGAAGATTGGCTGAAGCAACAGAGCATCATCAAGCTGAGCATCAAGCAAAAAAGTTGATTGCAAGCAGCCATCCACGGCGGCAAGAAAAAGGAAAGAACTTACCCAGTCCTCGGCATCATCTGACTTGTCAATGTGAAGGATGAATGATACAACGTGTGTTTGTACCTTGTCCACATGCATCCATAACTGCAACAGTGAAAAAGCAGCAAAAGCAAGGGAACCATTTGTGTTGGTTGTGAGTTGTTGTTGGTTGGTTGTGATTCTCTTCCCCCAACTTGCAGAGACCTTACCGCTGACTGATTTTGGTACAGACGCAGACCATAGGCTGTGAAGGGTGTCAATTCAGTGCCAGCCCATGCTTCCACATAAGGATGCAGTTCCCGAAGGACTCGTTGTGTCAGATCCGGGCGATCAATAAAGAGTGGCTCCTGTGGTCCATCAATGACATCAATTTTTCCTTCAAGGCGTGCATCGCCATTTTTCAATCCATCACGTATCGCATTTCTCAAATCTTCCATCAAAGGTTCTGGAGCCCTGGTCATTCCAAAACCCAATTCAGTGAAATTAGGTGCAACCACAGCAGGGTTGATTGTCTATATCATTGAGAAGGAAACATCAAGATTGGCATTTTCAAAGGATGTCAGCAGACTGGTTCCTAATTGCAGCAAAGTTAAAAACAAATGTTGGTTTGGACAAACTTGCCTGCATGTACCCTTCATAGCGGCGATTCAAGTCATCAATCTCGTGCACCTACCGTACCGGTATGAAGGGCAAAATAATATGTCAGAATACTAGGAAGCAATAAAAACACAACAAGAACTTGCACGGCAGACGTTGGTTGAATCGAATGATGAATCGACTCACCTGTTCCAATCGCTGCGTCATCAACTTGACCCATCCTGGATTGTCGGGAAGAAACTTGGGAGGCCATGTGTAGTTTCGAGCATAATATCCTTCAAGCCGTTCTGTCTCAGTTAATGCCCACGTCTTGGAAAACACTGCCAAGAGCAGGATGGTTGTCAAGGAGCTATAGATCAACATGATGCCAACTATTACCGTGGAAAATTTATGATGATGAAGACTGAATATTGATCTACACCAGGTGCAAGAGAAAAGGCAATTTGCTTGGCAACCCTTTTGCTTGGTTGCTGCTTTGGATCTTTGTGTAAGAATCCAATCTAATCAATCTCTAGAGGAGTGATGGCCGCTCTACTCACTATCTATCTTCCACCGGAGCGATGCCGATAGTGTTGAGAAGTCGTTTTGTTTGTGGTCTTGGGCCGTGGTTGCAATGCGATGCGATCACATTTGGAGTTCGGATTCGACCCAGATGATTCGCATCCAGGCCATCAATCCGCAACTTTTTGTCCTCACATCTCTCTCTCAAATCAGCAAACCGCATCGGTCATCGTCACATACCAGCCGACTAGTCAGCAGGAGCAAAAGTTACCAGCATCCTTCCCCTTTGAGACACATCCTAAAATTTCTACACCGTACGAGTTGAAACAACCAATCCACCACATCGCTAGCTAGCAGATCAACAACATGTGTCGAATGAATGATAGCCTTTGCTTGAAAAAGTCCCAACAGGTGAGTCGAGTCGAGTCGAGTCGAGTCGAGTTGAGTTGCACCTACCATTGACCATGGAAAGTGAAGTTTTCGTTTTGAGCCGCTTCTGACATGTATGTTGTGGGGGTCATGGGAGCGACGTAGAAGATAGCGCTGGCAGTCCCAAGACGAACCAAGAAATCGATTACTCTGGCACGTTTCTGTAGCACCCAGCTTCCCACCCGATCCGACAGCCATGAACACAAACAAACAGTGCAATCCGCCTTGGTCGTCACGGCGCCACCACGGCATCCGTCAGTAACAGCCAACTCGGGTCCATCTCCACAGGCACCCAATTGTTGTGTCAGCGCTGTATCCAAACTCCTATCGGGTGTGAAGAATGAGATAGAGTCGGATCGGGAACAAGCTCGAGACATGCGAGTGCTCAGAAGCGGGGTCGATCAGCTCAAAGCACTGACGCGTGCCAACAACGAAAGGTTGCACAATCTACAAATGATCCGGGCACAACAAGCACTATGGCAACAGGTAAGCCTGCCAGCAGAATGTTTCTGTTCCGTGCAATGTGTGTTTTAACTTCACCAACGTACTTTTAGTTTGTAGTGGGGTGTTGTCGAAGTACCAATCGTGCAATGGGAATGAGTACAGTAGCTTCTGCTCCAGAGAGATAATTTATCGCTAAACCTACTACTTCATCTATTGACTACTGCATCTACAGACTAAGCTCTACTACTACTTCTGCTGATTCGAATTGAATTGTCGCCATGGAAGATGAGGGCCCCAAGCTGTAGAAATCGAATCCCAAACCACCTGTTCAGGCAAACCAGCATGATATAGCTAGCTAGAGCTCATCCCGCTCCACGCGTGTAGGCTCAAAGGGGATCAGTTCCATGTTGGGAGCAATCCAAAACCCTTCTTTGGCAGGACCAGACCATTTGATGGTCTCCTCCCCTCGGCACCATGCATTTGGACAACTTGGTTCTTTGAAACTGGTTCCCAGCATCACCAGGGGAGTGGCCACCTTTTCTTCTGGTGCCATGGGCGCTGCCCAGCCAGCAGGAATTGCAAAATGCCCCTCCATGTGATGGTCCACCTCCTGCCAGCCATGAGTTGGGTAGTAGTGAACAAAGATTGAAGAATACCAACTTCCATTGAATATTTTGGGTCGTCCATGCAAACACTTGGAACTCTCATAAAAGAGGACATCCCCGGGAGTCAGAATAACTTCATGTGTATTGCCGTGTAAGTCCTTTGCAAAAGGAAGTGGAATTCATACATACATAGGAAGAAGCAATTATTGTGTGAGACTTGTCGTTGTAACTGGACAGAGAGTTGGTTGTCAGCTGCTTTGGAACTTCTCGTACCTCAATGAGGATTGGCCATGGTTCTGCATCATCCGAGCTGTCAATGTGATAAATCATGGAAATCACATGGGTTTGAGGTTTGTCTACCAATATCAATGGTGTGACATGTGGAGATATTGAGAACTTAAGAATAAAGCAAACTAGATCGCATCAATAGAATTTTGTGCCTGATGTACTTACCCACGTGCATGTTAAGAATACTGCAAAAAAAGCACGGAAGAAAATGATTTGTTTAGAGCGGGGAAAACATTGAATGAATCATTCGATTGCAGGAGTAGCATATAACTTCATCTTGCGTTACCTGTTGTTTTGGTAGAGACGAAATCCATAGCTGAAAGAACCAGAAAATGTAACATGTTAGCTGTCATATCCTTCATTTTGTAGGGTATGGTAACATCCAGAGTTCCAATGGACGATCTACTCACGCGATAGCTGGTGTCAAAGGAATCCCAGCCCATGCCTCTGTATAAGATTGAAGCTCATCCAGAACCTAAAGGTAGGAGGAAACGAATCAGAAAAATGTCGTCCCTGGGTTGATGACTCCAATAATAGGTAACAAAATTGGTCCATAGGTACAGTACGTACCCTTCTTGTGAGGTCGGGGCGATCAATGAACAGACAACGGGGACCCTCAATGACCTCCACGCTGTGCTCAAGCCTAGCTTCACCCCTCTCAAGGCCACCTCGAATGCCTTCACGCAAGGCCTGGGAAAGAGCTTCAGGACCACGAGCCAGACCAAATCCAAATTCGGTGAAATTGCGAGTCGTGATGGCAGGGGTGATGGTCTGAGCAGAAAGAAAACGGATGGGTTTAAGCAATCAATTGAAGAATTTGGTCAAAAAAAGTCATCCGCCAGAATCCATCAAAAAACTGCCAAGTCCCGTCCGTACCTGCATGTAACCTTCATAGCGTCGATCCAGGTCATCAATTTCTGCAACTTGACGCAAGCGTGCATCCATGAGTTTCTTCCAGCCCACAGTGTCAGGGACATATTTTTCCGGTGGCCATTGTCTCGAGTATCGCTTGTCGTGTTCTTCCAATCGATAGGATTCCGAGAGCCCTCCACCGCTCACGTCATGGATGATCAAACTGAAGATCAAACTGATCAACAGAGTAGTAGCATTGATGATTGTCGCGTGGAAACGAGGCATTGTCAAACCTTATAAAGTAGAGCCAAATGAAGGGATGTCGGCTTTTGGATGGGGAGGGCGAGAAGGATGAGAACGCAACCAAGCGGAGGTGTTCGTGAAATGAGAAAGATCCCAGTCATGTGACTGGGTTCCCTGACATGTTACACCGTTTCTCTTTGCTCACCCTAACTCTAAGGAGCGTTTGCTTTGGAACGTTCGAACGAACATATTATGAAGCGTGAAGAAGCTGGAGATAGTACAGGATGACTTCTTTTACCGCTGACAGGTGTCAAAATGTGAGCATTTTTGACGGTTAGTTTTCCGTTTTCGGAAATGGGAACTCGGAAGTGGTCATTTCGCGAATCCTGCATTGAACTGAATGGTTCTTACAAAGACAAGATTGAAGAAAAGAAAATGAATTTTATCACCATGGCAACATAGTTGACCAAATGGCCATTAGCTTTACCAATACATTGAGATAGCAAATCCTTTTCTAGAACTAGCTCCCCAACACACTCACAGAGCCACCCCTCAAAAAGGATTTGCTATCTCCAAGGTTTCCTATGGAGCTTCTAGGGAAAATCAGGCTTGGATTCCATTTTGTTGTCATTTTGCAATGGATTTCTCCATGGGAAATGTGCTCCTGTCCTCACTCTCAGCACTCAATCAGCACTGTAAAGTCATGTACTTGGATGGGTGGCTTTGCATGAAGACTGGAGAATCCATCCCAAAGATTCAAAAGAGGATTGTTGGCTTGATTTGATGGCCAAAATGGAGAAGATTTCATATTTGAAGTCAATAGACAAGTCAATTCAGTAGTAGAGTAGACGCCGTTGGTTGCATTCGTAGTAGCAATACTAGTAGCGGAGGCTCACAGCCACTCCGTGGTTCCGTGGAGGAGGGAGCGATTCTGCAGTCATCGATCAAATATGAGTGGTGCCATCATTGTCGAGGCGTTGCTTTCGCTTCCAGTCAGCCAGTGTCGAGGCGTCGCTTGTTGTTGTGGCAGTGCCGTAATGGTCGCTCCGATAGATCGCTCCGTGTCATGGTCGCTCCGTGGAAGAAAGAAAGAAGTCATCAACCGTCGAACGGAAGAACGACGAACGACCGATCGTCTAACGGCAGTGCAGAACGAATCGAGCCGTCGAACCGAATTGATCCGTCGAACGGAAGAAGCTTGTTGCCAGTGCCATTGACGAGGCGTTGCTTGTCGTTCTAGTAGTAGTCGTTTGTTGTTGCATTAGCGGTAGAGGCGTGGAAGCCGTGGAAGAAAGAAGTCGGAAGAAAGAAGTCATCGCTCCGTCGGCCGATCTATCGAACGGAAGCAGTCAACGACCGATCGCTACCAACCAACCAAGAGGAGCCTGTCATGGTGGTGAGTAGTAGCCTTTGTTAAGAGGAGAATAGCGGCTGTAAAGAGGAGGAAGCATCATCTTGATAGAGGAAAGATAGAGGAAAGATAGAGGTACCGGTATCGATCGAAATAATAAAAGAAGAGGTGGGCCAGTGGCCGAATGATGTCAGTTGAGATTAAGGTTAAGGCTATATGTCCCTTAAGTCTTTTCACAGAACGTTCCTGGAAGCTCCGGCTCGCATTCGAATGTCGTACTGGGAGCGGGCTTGCGTTTGTCGCGATAGTTTAGATTCAGCCTGTATGCATACTCTGGTACTAGTATGTGGACGATCGAATGCCTAATGGTTTCACAATAACAACAACAATAATAATAATATTAACATGGCATTGGCATCAAGGGCTTCCTGCAGCAAAATGCGATGAAGTGCAGGCAGAACAGATGGGTGGCTTGAATCCATACAGCAGTAATGCCGGCGCTACGACTAGCCAGTACGAGAAAGGTGCCGACCAAACATTATGATATCATTCAACAATTGAGCTGTAGAATTTTTGATAGTTGGCTGAGACTATAAGGGGGCTCCCTTCAAAGCAACATGCCCAAGATGAAAGCAGAGCTCCTGAAACCTGAAACACTTTTCCAGAAGGGCATTTGCATCTACAACCCCTCCTCGTCTTCTCTTTCTTTTAAAAAAAAATAGAAAAAATAGTACAGTATCCTGGGACAATGAAAAAATTGTTCACTGTTCACGGGGCTGCAAAGATTTATAGATGACATGGTCTTTATCTAGCTTTGTGCTGAAGGACAACTTGATAATTATCAAAATTTTTCCTTTTTAAATCCCTGCTCTTCACCCTTCTTCAACCTTCAACGTTGAAACACAGCTCCAACGGTGAGCTAACAGCTAACAGCTGACATGTCGTCATTGCCAGGAAGACAACTTTGGAAATCAGGTAGATGCTGAAAATTATAAATTACATACTACGCCTTCGGATTCAATTGGCCAAAAGCTCTCCGGAAGAAAATTCGAGGGGCTCTCTCAGGAATTCAAGGGCTCCGAAGAAAATTCAGAGGAGATTTACTTAGAGGAAATGCTTCTTTTGAGGTTAATGCTAGCCGTTTCTCCATTCCTTCCGGTGTGTCGCCCGCGAAATAACGCCTCAGATTTTGGAGCTTAGTTCCGATTTGTGCCTCTGTAGAATCAGTACCAGAGCTCTACAGGGCAACTCGGATTTTCTTCCCAGCCAGCCAATTTCTGAGAGGAGCCCTGAATTCTTTAGCGGAGCCCTGGTGGCCAATTGAATCCAAAGGCGTAGTACAAACATTCAGAGTAAAATGTAACTTTAACCCTATGTTTACCCCAGTTAGCCTTTTAAACCTGGCTTCCAGTGTGCCAGATGGCTGCCAGCAGTTGTGCCGCGAAAAAGAAGCGGTTGTACGGATGGGAGTTCCGCGAAGTGCCAGAGCACCAGTACAGTCGTACATCGTAGCCAGTAGCTGCCAGTTCAGTTCTGGTCCGAATCCGAAGCGGTTCGACCTTGGGACCTTGGGCCAAGCAACACACAGGGAGCTCACACATATTATGCTCTCAAAAGTTTGCTGTCCCTGAACGCTGAAAGCAACCCCACTAATACCAGAATAGAGCCCACTTTCAGGCCAGCAGAAGCTCGGCATAGCGATGGAAGTAAATCACGAGACAAACGCATCGAGCCATGTGGACGAGGATGCCGACGCAGTGGAGGCAGTGATGAAGGATCGCAGCCTGCTGGAAGCAAAACAACGAGCGTACGACGAGCACCATCAGCATCAGAATCAGATAATCGAAGCGGAAGCATCAGATGCTTCTGATGCGGAAAGCTTCTTAGAAGACCTCCTGGCATTCAATCAAGGAACGACGGACGACAAAGCATCAGCTACGGACAAGGCCAATGGCGAAAAAATGGTTGGGAATGCCTACCAAAAGACTGCTGTTATCCCACTACCTGGTGCTGTTTCAGTAGCCTCCGGCAAAGAAGGATGGGGCGGTGATGGAGGGAAGAATCTCCCCAATATCACCAAGAAAGAAACTGATAAAAGCAACAACGAAAGCAGCGGAGGTGCTCTGACCAGAAATGGGGCCCAAGAAGCCACAGCTGAAACCACTCCAAAACCACCTGCGCCAGAGGAGCTCCAACGTCGTCCAAACGTCGTTGCCAACAGCAGGCCCGGAGCATATAGTTACACCCCCGATCAGGGTCTGCAACGATCTTCAACCCTTACTGTTGCAATGGGCGCTGGTCCTCCTGAACCTCCTGAAGAGGAGATCGAAGCAGGACACGCTGGTAGCGGTACCGACGCGGTCCAGGCTGGTACACGTAGCAGGGATAACTTTGAACCAAACAATGGCGAACCAAACAACAACTTAGTTGAGGCTACACCGGTCACCGAAGACGACCAACTCCCCGCTGGCAATTTGGGAGCTGCCAGGCAAGTGGACCTGGAAGAAGAAAGGCACAAGGCTGAGGCACGGAAACAAGAACAGAAGAAGTTCTTCATAGGAGTGGCACTCTTGGTACTTCTTGGTGTGGGAATTGTGGGAATAGTTGCTGGAACTAGAGGGGGAAGAAATGAGACGAAGATAGCCACCGTATCACCAACATTAGCTCCATCTCCCATGCCCACCTCCACACCTTCTGTTGCACCCTCTTCCCCTCTGGACTTGTTCCTGGGAGATTTGCCAGATTCCACACTGGAGAGCCTGATGACTTTTGGCACTCCCCAAAGCAAAGCTTTCAGTTGGTTGGAAAACCATCAGAATCTCACAAACCTGCCACTGTGGAAGAAGACACAGCTGTTTGCACTTGCCACCTTCTTCTATTCTTTTGAGGGAGAACACTGGCCTGCATTGGTTCAAGATAGATGGTTAGATGACACAAAAGATGAGTGTTTGTGGTTCTCTGGTGAATTTGGGTACTTTGATGAGGACACTGGGGAGTACATTGAAGTTGATTCATATGGAATTTCTCCCTGCAACCAGGATGGAGAATATCAAAGCCTAAAGATGGGCAATTTGCAGCTCAATGGCCTGTTGCCCACGATGCCACCAGAAATTGGCTTGTTGACATCATTGTCAGTTGTGGGCTTGGGATACAATGGGATCTATGGACCACTGACAAACATGATGCCAACACAACTCTACCAACTAACCAACTTGACACTCTTCAACTGTCGGACAAATCATCTCTCTGGCTCTTTGCCCACAGAGATAGGATTGTTGTCCAACAGCCTCAAATCCATTTACCTATATGAAAATCCCTTGTCTGGGGCTTTCCCGAGTGAGCTTGGGCTTTTAACTTCCATGACACAAATGGTACGCAACTGCACCTTTCTTTGTATGTCTTGTTCTGTCTTCTCTTGGCTGTGAACTGAACCACTGTGCCTTCCTACAGGACATTACATATACCCATATCTCTTCTACGATTCCCAGTGAACTCTTTTTGATGACCAACATGGAAAGTTTGTATCTGGCCCACAACTATCTGGTGGGGACCATACCTCCTGAAATTGGCTTGATGACGAAAATGGCAGCTTTTTGGATTAATAACAACACCCTCACTGGCTCAATTCCAAGCCAGTTTGGCATGCTCACTGACATGAGTTCTGTTGGGCTTCACCAAAACTCCTTATCTGGCAGTTTGCCCAGTGAGCTTGGAAGACTGACAAATGTGAATCAAATGTCCTTGAGGCAAAACAGGTTCTCCGGATTGATGCCTTTGGCATTGTGCCCGTGGGACTGCCAGGAAAAGATTTCTCCTTTTCCAGCTGAAGGATTCTTGGGGAGAGAAACTGCTGTCTCTTCAGATGACTGCAATTGCACAGTGGGAGAAGCCTTTCCATTGCCCAACGCCACCAATGAAGTCACCATCAATGTTCAATTTGATGGATGGCCTGAGGAAACATCTTTTTCATTCAAAGAGTTGGATGGCAAGCAAAATTGGGTGCCAAAATTATCTGTGACTGGCTCTACAGATGACTCTTGGAATTTGGTCAGCTACAAGGAGAAATCCTTGACCTCCAACACCTTGTTTCACTTTTATATCTCTGATATATGGGCTGATGGTATGTTCGTGTTGTTTTCTTCTCTAAATTTGCACTTTTATTGTTGCTGACAGATGCTTTGTGTAATCAGGCATTTGTTGTGGTGGAGGAGTTTCCATAACCAATGGTACAAAACCTGTTGAACTCATTGGCACAGCCTATGAAGAGTATCAGGGCACCATAGTTTGGAGCGCCCAGGGGTATGATGAATTTGAAGCTTCAGCAGAGGTTTATCTTTGGGTGGATTCCAATGGCCATGTTGCAGTCGTGACCGAAGAGGAAGGCAAGAACCTCACTGCCACTATCGCCCACGGTGGGTAGAGCCATTCGGTACAACTAGCTGCAAAGCTTCTATGCTACATACACTAAGGTGCGAAAATTTGTTAATCGGTGGTTAGTAAAGGCATTCTTAACGTAGCCTTAGCAAGATCTCCCTTTCGTTATCATCTACTATCACTCTCCAAAGTAGACATTCTAACACCAATATTGACTTTGGGTGGGGCATTCCAGCTTAGAGTATCACACAATTAACAAGAAGTTACCAAAAGTTTAACCACCAATTCTTAACAACAATAATGTCGTCCCAATTTAGACAATAATTAGAACACCTACTTAACACATTGTTTATATCAAGTCGTTGCCCCAGTCATTCAAGACTCAGTGGCATCTTAACCCTTCCTTAACAAAACGACGAATAGACAACATTTTTACCACAAATATGAACAAGAACCTGACCATTTTACTTAAGGCTAAATTAGGGATAATTCGTGACGTCCTATAGCTGCGCATGCATGGCAGCCCATCCGGATCAGACCATGCACGCAGGCATGCATGCATGACTGATTGTCAATACCTGATTCAGACATGATGATGTCACGGTGACTTACTGACGTCATGCTAGATTGAAGTCATGCATGACGTAACAATGACTAGGTTAAGTGTGCGTCCAAACTAGAGAGAGTTGGCCAGTGCACTACGCTAAAAGCTAGTGTAAAGATCTTTCGAGTGTTTTGAGTTTGAGAGAATGAAAGTTTTATAGAGGATTAGAAAGCTATGAAAACTAATCAACGAGAGAGATCCACAATCAAAGGATCGTAGATCTGAACTCCCGCGGGAGACTGTAAAGTGTGATAGAGTAGGTTGCGGTAGCAATCCTACTCACTCCACGATCAAAAACGGAATGCGTGGAAGATTCGTCTAGCATTTATCTAGTGGCGTGGAATCTCTCCACGCAGCTAAATATCTAGCGCGATGTTTCACCATCGACCTAGTATGACTAGCGGTCATGAGAACCCTGTCTCAATGACTATTCACGAAAGACTCAGTCATGAGTCGAACTCAAACCCTATCTAGAATCGAGTCGCGAATAAGGCTAAGAGCCGTGTATTGCATTCGCACCCTGACAAGGGTCACAGAAGGCACGACATCAGTCGGACAAGGAGAACATATGAATTAAAGTGCGGGGCACTCTCCGGAGATTGGATGTAGACATGTGCGTCGCACGATGGCAATCCTACAAGGGGATCAGGCCTTGTATGGGTGTAAATACCTTATGTTCCAAGTCTGGTAGACTGTGCCGCCATTGGCGGTAGCATGTCGGAGCCGTACAGTGCCATTGTTATTGACTCGGTCTATGTGGTAAGGACCTTTGTACTTTGGCTGACCGTACTTGCGGTGCTGATACTGTTGAAACCTCACAGTATCGTTGACATTGTATTGATGAGGGACACGCGTCGCGTTTTCCTTATCATTGTTTTTCTGGATGAGTCGTTGGCGACGTTCTTTGATGTGTTTCCAGTTTACCTCGAAACGGACATTGTGAGTCTTGTCACGATTGAACACGTGTGGTATGAACTTGCGACGAAGTCCATATTCATTCTGGAGAGTCTTCTCGACTTCTGCGCGGAGTTCACGTTCTCTATCCATGATAACCTCAGTAGGCCATGGATACTGGGTGAGCCACGTCTGTTCTAAAACGATGGCTACTTCGTCTGCTGCATGGAGCAGCTCTCGGCAATCTCGAACCATTCGGTTACGGGATCAATCATTGTCAAGCAATGAAGTGGACAGGGATTCCTTTTCTTGGGATCTCCGACGTTGTATGTACATGTGATCGTCTGACCCATATGTCTCGATAGTAGTCACTAGTCCAATGAATCTACCAAGTTTCTTCCTGTTCGTAGGAGGAGCGATATTCTGGATCGCATCTATTTTCTTGGTTACGGGTTGGATTCCTTCTCAAGTAATCCAGTAGCTTAGGTTTCAAATTCTCTTCTTCGAAGAAGGACTTGGTAGATTGATCTTAAGTCCGGCTTCTCGAAGCCTTAGGAGACTTCATCTAACTATCAACGTGATCCACTAGATCGCCGTTAGTTAGGATGAGTTGATCATCAATGTATGCACGGACATTTTCCAAGTCGTGCATGAGTGTTCCCATCTTCCTTTGGAAGATGTCGGGACTATTGCATAGGCCCATTGGTACTCGCTGGTACTCGTATTTCCTGAATCTGTCTAGATTCAGTAGCATGTCTTGTATCCTTGGGATCGGACACGGTTTTAGCTTAATCTTTTTATTCAGTTCCCGGAAGTCGAGATGAACCGTGTTGATCCATCCTTCTTGGGAATGATAACTGTTGGTGCCGTCCACTCGGAACAGTTTATCTTTTTTAAGTACTCCTGCCTTGCAGAGACGTTCAACCTCTGTCTTGAGAGTGTTGGTATGGACACGTGGAGTAGGGTGAGCCCTAGTATAATAGGATTTAGCGTTGGGACGAAGTTCTACTTTGTAGTCGTCCATTTGCAATTCTCCCAAGGTACCATCGACTGGGTCGGAGCACTTGGTCGAGAAGGCATGAGGCAGTTCTTGCTCTCCTTATTTAACTGATTTCGACTCAGGCACATCTG